TTTTTTTTTTTTGCATTGATATTAGTGAAGTTGATAAGAATGATGTATAAAAGGAACCAGAGGGAGTACTTCACATCATGTAATTCTACTTTTAGTCATTTAGTAATCTTATGCCCTATTTGGTAGCATGAAATTGGGTTGGAGAAGTCATTTCTTTGGAGAATTGGGTTTCATCAAATTGAGGGAACTAACTTCCACATATTCATGAAACCCAAGCCACTTCTTTTCTCCTTTCTTCATAAAAAATTACCCACTTCCATGTACGAACCAAACATGCTTTAAGGACTTGTTTCCACTTCACTTTCTCTTCACTTCCACTTGCAATTTGAAAATAATGCTAGCTATTAAAAAAAGTTACATAGAAAATTATAAAAAATGACATAAAAAAATTAGAGAAAAAATATTCTATAAGAAAATTATATGAATTAAGTCCCCAAAATAGTGTGATAATTTATAACTCTTCTCCAAAAATAACAAATAGTGTTATTTATAAATGAATGCATTTTGTACTCTAGCTATAAATTTTAAAGAAGGATTTATAAATTTAGTGGAAGACTTAATAAATTACACTATTAATTTTTTATAGGGTATTTATGTGTTTTTTTATCCTTTTTCTGTAATTTTTGATGTCTTTTTTAGCCATTTTTAAGTTAACTAATAGTCAAAATTAACTTCTCACGGCAGAATATCCAATGCAGCATTTTCAAATATTGAAGGGAAAAATCACACCACATCTAATTCAGGATATTAGATGCTCCCTAGTGAATAGTTGAAGGGAAAAATGCCCTTTAACCCATGAATTTATTTCTATTTTGTTTGAGTTGCTTCTGTGGGTATTTAATCATAAAAATTATTTTATATTTTGGATTATCTTTTGTGTATGCTTACACATCTGTCTCAAACTTCTCATATCTGTTACTCCAAATTTATGCTCCTGTTGTTCCTTTAAAACCCAATAAAATTATTCTGTGTATGGGGCTAACTGTCATTCTTATGGTAGATGGAAGAAACTGATTCAAAAATGTGGCTTGAGTTAATAGGTGAAGTTCGATAGACACTATAGCTATGAGTTGAGTGAAGCACTTGAGCATGGGCTGAAGCATCTAAGGCAAAAACTGAGACAACTAAAGGTACAACTTTCACAACTAATACGGACAACCAGATCTGGCATTTGGTAAATATAATGAAGAAACTATCTTTTACATATGATGTGTACATTGATTTTTTTTTTTTTTTGGTTTTCTAAAGTATTCCCATATATAGTTGGTAACCATGGGATTAATCCCTTAAGAAATCTTAGTACCATTTAAAGGATCGTTCTCTCCCAAACGATACTTTTCATACTCCATAAATCAAAACTATAGAACGATGTTTTAAGGGGCTACCCTACTAACAATTTAAAGATTGTAAATGAAAGATAAAATGTTGAAAAGAGTTGTTTATTGAAGGATTACGTCAATACAACCCTATAAGATGGTGCCAATCCTGGAAATCATAAAGAGTTGTTTATTGAAAATGTCTTTTCTATTAAATTCTCATAACTTATTTTCTCACCACATAATTTCAATTGAGAATTTATTTTAAAATTGTTTAATTAGTTCACTTATAATTTTAAAATCTTGTAGCCTTAAATACATCTTTTTTTTGGCAGTCATACCTTCAGAAGACAACCTTCCTTTAGATTATTCTACAATTCTAGTGGATCTTTTGTCATTAGATATTCAACTTTTAGCCCTTCATGAAGATGATAGCAAAGGAAAATCATGTCTTGACCTTATCTAGACTAGTTGCTTTATTTTCAAGTAAAATTGCATTTCCTAGACCTTCAACATTTAGGTGAATTCAGCTTCAATACCCAAGGCGCCAAGATAGATAATTCTTTTTCATAATATCAAAAGCCGTAAATTCAAATTTGATAATATTTTCCATTATTCAAGCTAAAATAATAGTAACAATTAGAATTTTGATAACATTAATAAAATAAAGCATAATAAGTAAATAAATATTATGGAAAAAATCCTTCACACGCACATTAAAATAATAAATAACCATAAACAAATCATAAAATATAATTTATAATGAAGTATAATATAAAGAAATGCAAATATAAAAAATTTTATTGAAAAAATAAAGCACAATAAATATAAAGAAACACAATAAAGCAAATTAATTGATAAAGCAAAAAACATATGGTATTAAAAAATATATTAACAAAAAAAATTGATCAATAAATACACGCACATAAACAAACACAAAGTCATATATATATATATATATATATTAATTTAATGGAGGACTGAAAAAAAAATAATGATGATATCAAATACATAAACATATGGAAGGAAAAATAAGTATATCAATTTTCATAAAAATACAAAACAAAAAATAATAAAAAATAAAGCAATGAATGGTTGATAAGACTAGATTAAATTAAATCACTAATTACAAGATTATTTTTAAATGAATAAAATGGAGAAATGTAAACCACTTTGTGACTAAGAAAGGGAAAGGAGAAGAAAATAAAAAAATATAATATAATATAGCGAATGCATAAATAACATAACTATGAATATTGTTAGAGCAATAATAAAAATATAATTACATATAATATAAAAACACATTAATCTTAAGCTTATACCTTATTATTAGAGTCAATTCCTGCTGGTAGTGGTTATAAATATAACTATTACAAATAGTAGAGAAGAACAAGACAAGATATGAAATGGGGGAGAAAACAATGGAGGAGAATTGCTTATTTTCTAAGATAATTTGATTTGGGACAGGGCTTCTATTTAAGCATACAACTATTAAAAGTATTACAAATAATAAAGTATATATAACGATGCATTATATATCTTTGAAGGTTATAGATATTAACTATAACAAACTCTTTTTAAACTATTCACTAAAATATTAAAAATAGTATGAGTTGTGAATACCCATAATATATATTTATAATAAGTTATGAGTTATGACCATCAAATCGTGGTCACACAACATAAAAAAGAACGAGTAAGAGAAGGAAAACAAATAAAAAAGGAGCATAAAAAATAAAGACCCTGTGGAATATAATTATAGATAAGAACCACAAGGTCTTTAAAACAAAATGAAATGTTGGTTAAATTATTAATTTTATTTAAAAATATAATAAAATTTTATTTATACCCCAATTTAAATGAAAATTTTTTATTTTTGGTATTTCATTTTCTCTCATAATTAACGAATTTAAACATGGATAATATTCAAAAAAAATGTAATTAATGCCCTCATAGTGTGCTTTATATCCTTAAAATACCCGTGGAAGTTATGAATTCTAAGTTCCAACGCATAAATATCCTCCTTAAACTTCATCTCCCTGCCCCTTTCCAGCCCTACCCTCTCCTCTCTCCACTTTCTAACTTCCAATATCTAGGGTCTCAAAACCCATGCTCTCCCCCCTCATCTTTTATTAGATTAAGTTACAAATTTGCTTTTAATATTTTCATTTAGGGACAATTGATATCTTGAAATATTTTTTTGGCACAATATCATTCTAACATTTCTAAAATTGGTATCCATGCTAGGATATTTTTGACTATTTCCATATATGCAGTCTTCTTCCTCATCTTCTTCACTTTGCCATTGATTTCTCGCGCCTAGACTACCACATTCCATTCATCATCCTCATCTTCATCGTTACGAGGCTCAACAATTTCCTCTATTTGTTTCTTCCTCACTCTTCTCATTCTCACCATCATTCTCATCATCATCCTCATCATCAAGTCCTGGTTCAAGATTCAACAGCTAATCGTCGTACCCTTCATTAAACAATTTGCTTGTTATAGATATTAATGGACCCTCTTGACGTCAAATTGTAAGAAGAGCTAAGATTATAAATTATGTTAATCGATATCAACGATTTGTCTGTCATATATTACATATATATATATATATGCTTATTGCTACATTGCCCAGAATCATCAATTGTTGTATGCGAAAGATTCAATTTTCTTTAATATTACATCAATATTCTTTTATGTTCTTTATTTTTCATTCAAGTGAATGGGCCTTGGCCGGTTAAAAAGAAATGAACAAAATGATCATATTGTAAAGTCAGTAACACGTAATCATGTACGAGGATGTTGATGCTTTAAACAAAAAGGAAAAGGAAAAGGGACAACGGAAGTAAAGGAGATATGAAAATAGTGTAGCCTAACTCAAATTGTAATTTTTTTTGTTTTTGCTTTACTTAAGCAAGAAGAAAAATTTATTAGGCCAATTAGAGAAAGCAACCAACACAGAGGCGGAACAAAGTACAACCACAACTAAAAAGACAACCATAAGATTAAGAACAAAATCATCCAGGCAACTGATATGCAATAAGAGGCGCATTCTGTTGTAAATTTTATCTAGATAATTTGTAAAATTTATCTTTTTAACAAATGTAAACTATATGGATTATATGAAATAAATGAAAGTTTGTTATAAATAAATGGAATTTGAATATTATTTACAAAGTTTTTATTGTAAATTTCATCTAGGTAACTTGTAAATTTCTTCTCCTTCAATAAATATAAACCACGTGATTATGCAAAATTAACCAACATTTTATTATTAATAAATTAAATTTGAATGTTATTTATTGAGTTTTTCATTGTAAATATCATTAGGTGACTTATAAATTTCCTCTTCTTCAACAAGCGTAAACCACATGGACTATGAAATAGACGTTTTGCTGTTAGTGAATAGATTTTGAATGTCATTTATGAATGTTTTGTTATGTATTTCATAAAGGAATAATTCCATCTTTTAAGAAAAAAAAACTTAATTCTAAGATAAACTTTTAGACATATAAAATTATATCAAATTTTATTCGATCTTTAGTGAAAATATGTTGGTTCCATGGGCTTGCAGTGAGATTCTCCTGGCTGCAATATAGTAAAGCTGTTTTTGTTTTTCATTTCATGTTTTTAATTGCTTTCTTATTACGCACTTGAGGACACACTCACCTTTTGCTTTAATAAAGTCATGCTCCTCGATCAGCTTCTCTGACGATTGTGTTTTAGTTTCTCTCGCTGTTCTCTTCGCGCCTCCTTTGCTCTCACCGCTTGCTCAACTTGCTCTCCGCCATGGACATGTCGATCATCTCTAACGACAGAGCTCATTCCGACGGCTCAAACTGGAGGACCGATGAAGAGGTCATGGACATGTACGACCGCTGGCTTTTGAAACAAGGCAAGGTCTACAACGGTTTGGGGGAGAAGGAGAAGAGGTTTCAGATCTTCAAGGACAACCTCAGGTTCATCGATGAGCAAAACGCTGAGAATCGGACCTACAAGATGGGGCTGAATAAGTTCGCCGATCTGAACAACGACGAGTTCGTGGACAAGCATCTTGGTATCACCAGGATTGATCCCAGGAGGAGCATTGCCAAGACCAAGAGCAACTGTTGCGCTCCACATGTCGGTGACAATTTACTAGATTCTGTTTATAGGGTATTTATAAGTATTTTTTTTATCATTTTTCTGTATTTTTTGAGATTTTTCAGCAATTTTTAAGTAAACTAACAGTTAAAGTTAACTTTTTTAATAACAAGGTACCCAATACACCATTTTTAAATGTGGAAGGATGAAATTACATCACATCTAAACTTAGAACACTAGACACTTCCTAATGAATAGTTAAAGGGTAAAAATATCCTTTAATCCATGAATTTATTTCAATTTGTTTCAGTTACCTCTTTGATTATTTAATCAACAAAATTATTTTGTATTTTGGATTTTATATTTTAGTGTACGCCCACACATCTATTTCAATATAATATTTAATATTTGGTACTTTAACTTTATGCTCCAATTGTCCCTTTGAAGTCCAATAAAATTATTTTGTATTTGGGGTTAATTGTCATTCTGATGGTAGATGGAAGAAATTGATTCAAAGATGTGGCCTGAGTTATTAGCTAAAGCTTTCATAGATGTTATGGCTAAAACTCAAATGAGTGAAGCAATTGCAACATGGGCTGAAGCATCTAAGGCAAAAGCTGAAGCATATAAGGAAAAGGCTGAGAGATATAAAGGTGAGAAAAGTAATGAGGAGGCCACTTTTTTCCTCAGATTATTCTCTTGCCAAGTGTGTGATTGCTCTTGATGAGATTGGGCATGTTCATGAAGATTGTTATATGAAAGCCTTGGAAATCTTGAAGGACAACCCTGAATGGAGAGAAATTTTTCTTAGCTTGACACCTTCCAGGAAACAGCAGTGGTTATATCGTGTTAATTGTGGAAGGTTGGCTCCTGATATATCAGATGAAATTCTTACTTATTTTGTAAATAGATTAGAGAAAATTATACATACATAAGTCTTTATTTTGTTATTGAACTTTATGATATGTCATTAAACTTATAAGTTTGTGCTGGTGATGAGGTTTTATGAGCCTTTATTCTTTTGTCATTGAACTATATGGTTATGTCATTAAACTTGCGAGTTTGTGTTTTTATTCTACTATGAAACTTTGTTTATAAACAATGTTGTGCTTGAATTAATGAAAATTTGGATTTACATCAAATCTCTTATTTTGATATTAAAAAAATTTATGGATTCATTCGTTTCTTATTATCATTCTTTTGTAATTTGAAATCATTCCTATATTTTAGTTATTTAAAATTTTAGTGATTTCAAACCTTTGGTTCTCTTACTATTTTTCATTGTTAATGCCTTTACCACTCTTGCATCTTTTCTGATTTTTTTTTTCATCTCTGGTCTATTGAAAAATAGAAGCAAGCTTGTTATTCTTTATTTTATTTTATTTTTTGCTTTGAATCTCAACGGGTTTCTTTTTCCCTTTGAAAATTTGTAAACTTCCCAAAGAGGATTTTAAATGTAAGAGTTTAAATTTAAAATCCAAATTCAAATCCACCAATTCAAACACTATCTTAAAAAATATTCCTAAGTTCCTTACTTATTTTTTAATTTTTGAACAAAGGAACATCAAAATATTCATAATCTATTACTTTAAATTTTATACATAACTTGTTATAGAAATGATTTTATTCCTTGGTTCAAAAAATTAAAAAAGTAAACCAAACAAGATTTTAGCTTTTTTTTTTAACTTCAAAACCTATCCTCAAAAACAAACGTTACCAAGCAGGCTTTATTATTTTCTTAATTCAAAAACTATTATCAAACAAGCCTTCTTTTTATTATTTATTTAGGATTTTGGTTCCTCAAATTTGTTTTAATTATTGATTTGGTCTCTCAAATTTAATTTTTATTAAATTAGTCCCTTAAGTTTATTTCACTTATCAATTTCATCTTAGTTATTTAAAGGTTAATGAAAATCCTAGAACCTAAACTATTATTTAAATGGTATCCTAGACCTTGAACTATTAAAAAGAACAAAAACCCCTCATCCTGTAAATTGCGAGCAAATTACCCTTGGTCGTTTATTCGTATAACACTGACCGTTATGTAACCCAACTGGCATGTCACGTGTTAAGAGTGGATTAGTGCCACTTTAACCTTTGACTAGGCCCTATAAAGTCAAAAGTAACTAATGTTATATGTAAATTAACAGTAGCAAGTAATTTGCTATTCAAGTAATTATTTAGGATCCAAGATGTTCATTAACCCATTATTTAAAAATAAGGTTACATTGTTAAAATTTATTGACATGGATAATAGAATATTCATGACAACAATGTAGATTAATAAAAAGAAGTATAATTATTTAGGTAAAAAATAAATAGATTTTGAATTTTTTTCTAAAAAAACAAGAGAATAAAATGAAAGTCTGCCCAATAGGGGCTAAATTGAGCTTAATAAAAATTTGGCTAATTTTTAAATAAATTCAAAGAGATGAGTTTAGAAAGATATCACCAATTATAATAGAGAGTAAGGAAGAGAAGCTTGCTCATATCACATATCTTAGTTCGACTCTAACCACTAGAGCCTACGTCTAGTTCTCAAGTACCACTTGAGATTTTCTTTACTAACTTCACCAAGATTACACTACTACAAAAAAGGAATAAATGACCGTTCGTTTAGTCCATAAATGATAGTTAATATGCGTCATTTATATGGCTAACATTTAAAGTCTACCAATAAATGATGGTCATAAAACCGTCATTTAAAATAAAATTTTTACAAAAGCTCAAGTTAAAAGAAAATATAAATGACAGGCAAGTAAGTTACCCATCATTTAAAGTCCAGATAAATGATGGGTAACTTATTTACCTGTCATTTATTGTACTATAAATGATTATTATTAATATAACCATCATTTATTATATGATTTTTTTAAATATGGGGCTATTTTTATACTAGCCCCCTGCAAAAAGAAATTAAAATAGCAGCAGCCATCCATTCTAGATTTGAATATTAACGAAATTTATTGTATTCAATTTTAAAATTAATCAATAAACAAATGTAATTACATAAAGTAAACTATTTCTAAAAATAAACTACCTATTAAAAATATAAACTTCCTAGCTACTTTTTCAAGGTAGCTCTATTGATCTTCTTTGTACAAGGTCCACACTTGAAAAATGTATCTACACCGTTCTTCAATTCCCTCATTTATTTCTGCATCCCTGAATTCTTTAACATAAGAATCGTCATAGTACTACAATATATAATATATTAATTTTAATACATTAAATATTTTTGTAATTTAAAAGTTGATATTGTTGACATACCATCTCGGGAATTATGCACTCGTTATGGATAATGATACCCTTCATGAACCTCCTGATGCAATAGCCACAATCCAAGTTATTTTTCTTTTGTCTTGGACACTAAAAATTAAAGAATCGATGAATATGTATTAATATATTAAATTTCAATTTAGTAAATGATTCTAATTATCTTAATTATATTCCAAATGTAGTCCACATCAAAATTTGTAAAGGACCTTAGAATTGATTATTTTATATTAGTGTAGAATAACACAATCGCCCTAATGAAACAGTTAAAAAATATGTTAGTATGGAATTTAAATAATTAAATAAATATGTGAAATACTTTATGCACTTACGTATTAATCAACTCCAATAAAATTTGTCTCCTCCCTGGTTCCCCTCCAAGAGAATCAAGATAATATATCTTTAGAGTATTGTCGAATGATTCAGCAATGATTAACATCCAATGGTCCCTAATAGTATTAACAAGTGTTGCAAAATTATAATTAATCCATTAAATTAAAAATAAAAAAAATTATTAAGATAAGTGAGAATTATGCTACCCTTAACATTATGGTATTATAAATAATGTTCCCTTTCAAATCCTTGCTTTGAAATTTTTGCTTAATGCCTTTGCTTGTTCTAAAATTTTGTCGCTTGTAATTAAGGCATGTGCACCTATTTCATAAGGACTAACAAAGATGAATTTTGTTTGTAGATCAAAAGGGACAACAAATTTATCATACAAGCACATATTATAAAGACAAGAAATGGATTAGTTTATATTTAAAATATTAACTATTCATATGAAAAAAAATTACCATATGTAGCAACTAAGAACAGTGAAACTGGTCATATCATGTTGAAGCACTTCATCAACAACATCAAGCGAAAACATATCATATTAGTCTTTGCCATATGTACCAGCCTCAAACGGGATTTGTAGGACTAGAGGATTAGACCTATGAATCGTTGCATATGCCTGGAGTAAATTTCTATGTTGGCTCGGCAATTGAGGCTTTTGTTCAGGCATAGGTTATGGGAGACTGCCTTTTTAGAAGAGAGCCTAAATCAGGATATCATATATTTTTTTAACTGTGCATCTTTACTAGTTTGTTTAGACTTGGCATCCTAACTGACTAGCTTACCATCTAACAAAACTACCCATCGCCTCTCCAACAATCCCTGCGTCCTCAGTGGGAATAGGTAATGGATAGTTCAAATCTTTCAGCACATTAATAGCAACACGTACATAGGATGTAGGGAGTGGCATATTATGTAGCATGTCTCCTGGCAAATTAAACACTCGACCAATAGTAATTACATGACCATTCAGGCTATTTGCTAACAACTCACATAGGCTTTTACCTTATATTAATAAGTAATATACTATATTAAAGTTATTGAAAATAGAAATAGTGAAATAAATTAATAATATTTTACCTCAAAGATATTTTTAACTAGCTGCATGACATGTAACTACCTTTCCTGCTAGGACTAATATGAAACTCTGCCTCCCGCCTCTCTTGTCCCTTAACAAAGCTTCAATCATGTTTGTTACCTAGATAGCTCCTCTTTCAGGATGGCAATCTCAACCCTTGCACTCACATCCTTTGTTTATCTTTCCTTCTTCTATGACCCGAATATTTATTTTTTCGAAACACCGAAGCCATATCCCCTAACTCAACTAGGGTGTTCAGGCTTACCTGATGCCTTGCCCAAGACATAATCATTAAGCGTGCCACTTTTCTCGATCTTGGCCTTTGCAATAGATAGTAAGAAAGTTAAATTAGTTGATTGAGTATAAAAAAATGTTAAGTTAGGTTAATGTACTTACACACTTGTCAGCAAGCTCTTGAACACATTCATCAATAATGTTTCCTTCTTTATTGGTTCGGCCTTCTATGAAAAGTCTGTGACATGAAACTAAGCTTGCCCCTAAACTCTCTCGCTCAATCTACGAATTTAAATAAATTTGAATGTGAATATAGCACATATATCCATGAAATAAGCTAAAATTATATAGTATAAATATTAACTTATCATTTGTTGCTCATTTGTTGCTCAATTCCTGCATATCCTATACGCCCTTTTTTGTAAGGGTATAGATTTTTCTCATGCAACTCTTTCTTTTTATGGCTCAACTCCTATACAAAACACATAGAATCTTATCAATAAAATTTAATATATTGACAATAATAAAAAATTAATTCATCTCATTGTTCTTACTTGAAATTGTCCCTTGAGATATTAAGCAACAAATTCATCCCACTGTTCTTGTAAAACTAATAGCCTTATCAAGTCGGGGACCTCAGCACTAATGTTTCCTCTTAATTTTTTTTAATGTATTTCTCTCCTATGAAATACTAAAATGTCTGCATTGCCTTTCTAGCTTGTTGCATGACAAATTTCATCCGGCTAGTATCAATTGCAAATGGTGACTGTAAACCAAGACAATTAAATAGATTTTTGGTCAAATAATTTCAATTTACTACAATGACGTGAGTAAAGTATTTTACCTCTACTTGCTCCCAAATATAATTTTTCATGGCTAAACTAAGATCATTTTAGTGCCTAATTGTAATCGACACATTTGCTTTTACCAAAACCCCTATACACCTAATGAATTTATTTTTGTTGGTCTTAACAGGTTGACTTTTAAAATTCCATTTTCTACTTCATATTTTTATCCAGCTGCCCTTCTTCTATTCACCTAAGTCATCAATGTCAATTCTCTTATTATTTGATTTGCTTCTTACTGAATTTGCTGGTCATTCATCTTGAT